ATATATATATATATATATATATATATATACACATTGCCCGGCTGAGGCCTAGAACTTTCTACAAACTACGAGATGTTATGATGTAACAATACACATTTAAAGCAACATGAAAAATTCAGAAGGTTCAAATAACGTGACGTCAATTCACAACAATTGGACTACCGAACCCAACAAATGATTGGTAAACAGTTACCTAAGTAAACTGCGATAAATTATCGCTTCTAAAAATACTAAATTTAACAATCTTATATTAGATTTAAATGAAACAGCCGTGTATATCTAACAACCAGCATTGAAATTTAGTGTAAATTGTTATTGGTCAATATGTAATTTGCTTACGCATTTGTTAATATTAGTAATAAAAGAAGGCAAGTATATAGATGTTAAGGACGGGAGTAGATCGCGCTAGACATAATACATTATTCAACATTTACTTGTTAGTATAAACTACAGAAAAAAATAATACTTGAAATAAGCTTCTAAAGATCAAATAGACAACTTTTTCCCAAGATTCTCGTTATTATTATTTGTCAATACGGGTATAAATGTATCCCAAAACAGGACTTACAGGAAACCTAGATACGTCGAATATCTCAACGTTACTGACCATGCCATCAAAGGTCACTGCGTGTTTATAGAGCCAATCTGTAAAAGAAAAGTAGAAATTATGCGTAAGCTGCCACGAAATAACCCGCTGCTTGCATAAAGAAAAAAACAATAGAATTTGCAACATATCCTAACTTATCTACTTTGTTTCTTGATGAATAAAATATAAAAATAAAGTTACTGATGTACTGTGAGGTATATATATAAGAAAAGTAAGTTCAAATCAAACTTTTTGTTTAAATAAGTTACTATCTACAGGTACATTAGACATTTTTCTTCTCCATTCTCGATTATTGAGTTTTAAATTTTGGGTTGTGTTGTTATAAACTTGATTCAAATGGTCATTCTTCCTTTCCTGATTGATTCATCAATTTAACGAAAAGTACTACCAAAATTTACTTTTGTTTGACGTTCTTGTTGTTTCTGTTTCATTCAAAAGGTATAATTCTATGTAGCATCTAATAATGGTAAATAAACGAGAAAAGTCGAATCTATTTCTCAGGCTATAGATAACTCGCCGTAGCGCCATCGTGCGTCAGAATGAGCCTTTCTTTCAGTGAGAAGTGCGAGTAGAATCTTTACACAGCTATCCAACTCTCAGTGGGTTAGTGGGCGACAGTTGCTATCAAAACGATCTAGAGTCTGGTTTAGGAAGGCGAACTCGGGTGGGGGTCTATCGTCCACAAAAAATTAGAGATTTTCTCTTTTTTTACAATATTAAGTCATCTGCGTCGGAAACACGACTTGTATGATCAACCTCAAAATATGTGAAATTTTCAGGAAAACAAACCTTTCATGAATAATTGTATCATAAATTCCAACCATCGTGACAGATGAAATTTACATATATTGCATGGATAAACAAAATCTACATTTACAAGGCATTTTCTCAAGAAATGCATAAAGTATAACTTTTACAAAGTTAATTAAAGTCAATAAAAATTCATTTTCCATATCAACGGCTGGTGCTATCTAATTGACCATATTTAGTATCTTTTGACTGTATTCTCGATCGGTTTTTGTTGCTACATTTAAATTATCGCAAATATATGAAAGGTTATAAGTATATTTGGTTTTCTTCTATTTGTAAGCTGCGTGGATCTTCACAGTAAACAACTGTTTGTTATGTTCTTTGTAAGCAATGGCATACTTTTAAGGTTTATACGTCACATCATGTTCAGTAAATCAAATGTTCATTCTCTATGTTCATTCATTTTCTATGTAAAATACACAGGGAGTCCCACAAGTAATTAGTGGGATGTCTTGCAGCACTGATGTTAGTTTTTGTTCCTAGTTTGAGTAACTCATGGGTAATAACGTCATGGACCCACAAGTAATAAATACTTTACAAATATTTGATCAAGACAATTCAAGGGCTAAATATTGTTTCGTATTACTTTATAAGTAATTTCTACACCTTTGAATATTATTTTGCATTGTTAGCATAGTATACAGATTTAGGACTAACCCAAATCTCTTTAGCTGGTCGGACCTCGTGAAATATTCCTGGGAAAGCGACCGAGACTATTGTTAGCAGTGAAGACCCCAACTAGTGATTCATCATGTTCCAACAAATCAATCTACTTAACTGGTTGAATCTCGTAAAATATATCTGGAAGAGCGGCCGAGACTATTGTTAGCAGTGAAGACCCAACTAGTGATTCATCATGTCCCAATCAATCTACTCAGCTGGTTGAATCTCGTGAAATATATCTGAAAAAGCGGCCGAGATTATTGTTAGCAGTGAAGACCCCAACTAGTGTTTGGTTTGGTTTGTTTTTAATTTTGCGCAAAGCTACACGAGAGCTATCTGCGTTAGCCGTCCATAATTTAGCAGTGTAAGATTAGAGGAAGACAGCTAGTCATCACCACCCACCGCCAACTCTTGGGCTACTCTTTTAACAACGAATAGTGGGATTGACCGCCACATTATAACGCCCCCACGGCTGAAAGGGCGAGCATGTTTGGTGTGACGGGGATTCGAACTCGCGACCCTCAGATTGCGAGCCGAGCGCCCTAACCACCTGGCCATGATCCCAACTAGTGTTGCAACGTATTCCAATCAATCTGTTTAGCTGGTTGAATCTCGTGAAATATGTCTAGAAAAGTGGCCAAAACTATTGTTAACAATGAAGACCCAAACTAGTGCTTCAACATATTCCACTCATAACAGGGGTTAGGTTTCTTCTGTACTGACTGTTAACATTATGCAATTTTAGTTAGTTTCTTTTATATAACTGGCATCATTAGGTTATAAGCCACTTTCTGGTTCTGATATACATCGATCAGAAATGGCTAATAATGCAATTTTTCGAAATTTATTATGCCTTCAAAATGTCTTCCTGAGTAGAGTTAAATTTACCTTAAAGACGTAAACTTTCAGAAAGCTATGTACGGTCTTGACACGGCTTCAGCAAACTAATAAAAATAAAGAAAAGGGTTTGTAGAATGATGCCAAGAATATGTGATGATCTTAAGGCTAATCTCCTATACAAAGCTGGAAAACTCCCGCGAAAATGTCAGTGTTTCTTGTCCTTAGTTTCTGTGAAATATTACATAAGTTGATGCTGCTCAATACAGGTAATTGTTAAACAGTTTTATAGAGATTAAACTTAATGTTTGGCTTAATTTTAGAGTTAAGACCATGGAAAGGAACTGGGTGATGATTAACAAAGTATATATATATATATGTGTGTATAATATGTGTAGTTAGGAGAAGCTGTATAAAACTATATCTTTTTTATTTTTCGGTTACTGTGGCTAAGATTTTGTTTTTTATTAATAACATTCATATTACTCTTATTTAACACCTGTTATACTGGATAACTCTGTTACACATCGCGTTTATAGATGTTTTATTACCAGTCGTAAATAAATATATGGTGGTTGCTTTATAACAGCAGTGTTTCGTTAGTGGTGTCATTGATGTGTTAAAATTTTATAACAGTTGTATTTCGTTAAGGTGTGAATTTCTTATACACGTTTATAACAGCAGTTTCATTAATGGTGTGTGGATATTTTATAAAAATTGTAGGTCGTTAAGGTGTGAATATCTAAAAAAATGCTTATAACAGCGGTGTTTCGTTAATGGTGTCATTGATGTGTGGATGTTTTATAACAGTTGTACTTTTGTGAAGGTGTGAATATCTGATAGATGCTTATAACAGTAATATTGCATTACTGATGTATGAATATTTTGTAACATTTATATTTTTGTGAAGGTGTGAATATCTGATAAATTCTTATAATAGCAGTGTTTAATTAATAATGTCATTGGTGTGTGGAAATTTTATAACAGTTGTATTTCGTTGAGGTGTGAATATTTTACATAAGTTTATAACAATATCAATGGTAATAATGGCTGGAGACGGCTTGAGTGGGTAATGAAGAAAAACTTTAATATAAGTTTAACATAACAGCACATTTACAACGTTTCGACAAGGTTTTGTCATCATCATATTTAGCAAATACTTTGGTACCTGATGATGACAAAACCTTGTCG